ATTTTTCCTAATCTCTAGATTGGCCTGGCGGTTGCCGTTACTAGTGACTTGTGGAATTTTGAAGGCTGCCGAGGAATTAAAAGATAGCAATATTTGTGGAAAAATCCGTTTTTCGATTAATAGCAATTCAAAATATGCGAAAAACGGTAACATTTATAAATAAAAAGGTGATTTTTTAAACAAGGATCAACGCCCGGTGTTTTAAATGTAATTAGTTGGCACAATGAAATTGCCAACACTCAAAGAATCTATCACTAACTGGTTGAGCATCTTTTTTGCTTACACGATAATTTTGGACATATTATACTCACATAGCATACGCATATGTTATTTTAGATTCCGATCTTATATGAGAATCTAAGGTAGCTCTCGTGTTGAAATCCACTTTTATTTATGTCGCATGTCGTACGGATTTTGACCGATCGAAATCAAAACTTGGCAGTCGTGGGGCGCGTGGGCGGGGCGCGACCCCATAAGCAGATTTCCCAGCGGATAAAAGTTGTGTTTGTGCGTTTTCCTTGGTCGTAGGTGAATTTACAAAAAAATGAGCGTCGCAGATAATGGATGAGTTAATATATACCCTGAAATAAGGACCTACATTGTACCGGGTGTTCAAATAAAGCCAACCGGGAACTTACATTCGGAGACGGATGGTGCCTAAAGTGATAACCTATTAATTAATTAAAAACTGGAAGGGATATCATTATTATTGTTATTGTTTCGGCTTTTTCTTTTAATTTTTTTCTATTTATTGGTTTGGTTAACATTTTAAAAGTTTCGACACCGCGGAATTTTTTTATTTTGAAGTTGTCTTTAAATATGTCATATTTCCATTTTTTTTTAGATTATTTCTAAACGTTTTAAATAAATTGAAAGGAAAAGAATAATACGAAAGAAGAATAGCTAAATTAGGTTTTTATTGCTTAGTGCTATTTAATATATTTACAATTTTTTGTATATATTTATTATTATTTTCTTTTATTTTAATTATTTGTGTATTGATATTATAATTTAATCTAATAATTTATATCACACTTTAATAATCTTTATTGTTTGAACATATTTATTTAATGCCAATTAACTTAATTAAATACTAACTTAACCTAAGCCAAGTCCGTCACCGTCGAACTTGCTTCATCTATTAGATAATTTTGTGCACTTCAAAGATGTTAGCGAAGAAACTTTATTTTTAGTTTTAGTTTTAGGTTATATTATTTGTATGTTAGGTTAGGTTATGTTGCGGTTTTCAATGGGTTCGTGGAGTTTTTTATTTATTAAGAAATGTATTAAAAATAGTCATATCCTGTCTTTCAAGAATTAATAAGTCTCTGATATTATATCATACCACAATTAAAATCGTAGTATCCAAAAAACGACTTGAAGTTTATGAAAATGCGCTTTTTTGAAGCTATATAGATTCCCAAAATTGGTTACCTCCACTTTTCTTTCAGGCAAGATTTGAACTTGCATCAGGGCGTTAAGATGGCGGGCGCGTCCCCTGGTAGCCATTGCAGAACTCTTTTGGTCGATTTACTTAGTAATTTTTGTTTCAGAAGTTGACTTTTGGTAAGCATCTTCACCCTACAGGTTTTTATTGAAAAATAAAATGAAAAAATAAAAAATAAAAATATGGACATATTATTCCTACGTTGTGACATTTTTATATGTTTTCAATATATTTTTTTTAATAAAAAATACTTTTAGTCACTTATCAATATTGTTAAAGACTAAGTTTATTAATTAATAACGTCTTAAGTAGTAAGTAGAAAACCACGAAAGAAATTATTCATTCCTAATTACCGAGATTGTCATACGTCATAGTAGGCTGTGAAATTTGACAAATCGGAAAATATACCTTACCGCATCTTTTCTGTCGTTATTTGATGCTTGTTAAAATCTCTTAATTATCTAATCTCTTTTAAATAGTCAAATTTATCTATCAAACTTTCAGTTTTCTTATCATATTACAATATTCGACTGCTGAAGCATACGTCATGTTGTGCGTGGCTGAGCGAATCTAAGCAGCAAATTATCACAATCGAAGACGTTTTACTAGAATGGCAACAGGCCGAGTTGATCCTAATCCAGTGTCTAGAAGAAATCAACGCGTTCGGAACGAAGAAAACGTTTTCTTGTCTATGTCCACGTCTGTGTTTAAGCTTAATAAGAATAAGTTTAGAATTGGATATTAGTAAAACATCTATACACCGAATTCTAAAAGATCGCTATCTACCTATCATATTATATATTACATTAGGTTCTTTTAGAAATCTATTTTGATAGACCACTGTAAAGGGCTAAATTCTATGGCCTACTACATCTCCGGACCTTACTGAACTGGACTTTTTAACCTTTGGGATAGAATAAAAGATATTGTTTATCAAACATATCTTTATACATATGAAGATATTGAGCTACGGTTTTAAGTGGGTTGTGGGGCTCTTGTTTGGTTATCTATTTACGCAAAAAATGTACCTTACTTCGTTGGCACACCCGGTATATTTTTGAAAAGGCAATAAGTTGTTACTATAGCAACACCAATGAGTTTATTGAAATTTTCGAAAAAAAAAAACAAAATAATAAACGTTTATAATGCATTGTAATTTTAATTTAACTGTTTCTTTTTATATATAATTAATTAATTTTCTATCGTATTATTCTGAACTGTTGGGAGTGTACAAAGAAATAAGTTTCACCGTACTCAAACAAGCCTTTCTTGTCATTCGGTGGAGGCGCAGGATATTAAAAAATAAAAAAGTCCCGACCAAAATAAAACGGTGGGAGGCGTGAAGTGTTGAAGGGGCGAAATTTTTTAAAAGTCTGTTTTCGATTTTGCATCGTCGGTCGTCGCGAAAAGTTAAATAAGCTGTAACGCAATTAGACTCGTATAATTAGAATGGGAAAATTATGAGAGCAAGCGAAAACGGCAAGATCGCGAAGATAGGAGAAAAAAAAACGAGTCTTTGGGTCTTTAATGGAATTTTCGCGAGGATTTTTCTGATGTAACTTTTCTCGGAAGTGTAAATAGTGTTATCGAGACTATACCGGCACGCAGTTAACGTTGCTCGGGTGTTAACTATCCGACGTTGTCGTTAATGGTCCAATTAGATGAATTCCGACATAGATATTCAAAAATTACGCCCTAATGGAAACAACGAAATAACATTACCCGTTTTCTGACATGTTTTCAGCCTATCGTTGTTTGACAAAGTGCGAGGTTTCGACTAACGTTCTCTCCCATACGGAAAAAGCGGATCGTAGGTTCGTTTTAACCTTAAACTTCAATAGGTGTGAGATATTTTACGAACAACCATTTTGCCATATAATACAGAGGTCATAAGGGCGGAAAGATCGATACGAACTGTCTTCGGCCTTATCGGTTGAAAGCGAGATTTAGTCTTGTCGGTTAAAGAGTTGAAATGAGCGTGCATGCGACGAATGAATGAATCTTCTCAACATTTTCTTCATGGCCTTTAATGCCTTCAAAAGTTCCTTTATCCTTCCTTTTTTTTTTGATGGTTTAAAACTTCGTGGTTAGGTATCACAGATGGAAGGTGTTTCATAGTTATCAGAACAAAGTATTCCCAGGATTCTCATAGTGGCGCAGGTGACTTTTCAACATTTCGTCGATGTAAATTTGAATATAACTCGAAATTATGCGCTACAGATAGCATTAAACATTTTTTTTGCTTAAATTAAATACTATTTATTCATATAAACACAGTAAATAGTGGACGAAGTGGACGAGAATAGATAAAAATCTCAAAAAATATTTTGTTTTGCTGCGTAGCCTTAAGGTTATAAACACCACATCTTGGCAGCACTTTTCTGGCTCTCATTTGGTCTACAAAATAAGGTTTAAAATAATTACAAAACTGAATTATAGAGGGGATGTTACGTCAAAATTTTCTAAACATAAAATTCTTATATTGCCAAGCACTTACATACTTACGCGTACGGTCACAAGAACAGAATCGATTTCTTACATTTCAATAATTTTCAACTTCAAATCTGATTTTTTGAAATTATTTCTACATCCATTTTTTCAATAAACTATAACCCAAGACGAAAGCTCTTCCAAGAAGCAGGTTTTTAAACGTATATGTTCTAGACTTCATAACAAAGGAGCCTGGAGGAGTTTATCATTCTTCAAGATACCATTAATTAAATCTACCGAGATGACTGCTTCAGTCACTCGTTTATTAAGAACTCGCTCCGCTTGTGCTAAATCAAACTCGTAAATTTAAATGTGTTGCTTTTTTGCACATGTCCTGTTTTTCCCTATCCCTCTTAAAGGAAGCCAACTTCGAGTTCTCTCCAATATTGATTCTTGCAAAAGAGACACACAAGTTCTTGCGCACGTCTGGAATTTCTGAGACCCAATGTTTTTGCTTATAGACGAAAAAGAGTACTTACGCTATTCTTTTTCGAGATACGCCAGGACAAAGACAAGCCAAAGAATTCCTGAGAAGTCCGTCGGCCAAATGTACATTAGACTTGCTAATTTTGAATCTTGAAAGGTTCCACCGAAACCAAGAAGTTTTCGGTAAGTTTTTAAAAGGAGAGATTAAAAACACATTTGTATCCAGCCAGGAAATTTGCAAATGAAAAAAAAAACGCACTTGACGGCAGCTACAATGCATACGAACGGTATATAGAATTCGAACCGAAGTATATACCTCGCTGGCAGACCGCGGGGTTTTTTTTCGCGAACCTGTCGATTTTCATTTGTCGCCCCGTTGCAGGACGGCGCAGTTTTCCCAGAAGCCGGCTTTACATTTTACGTATTCGCCGCAGGAATTTTCATTTAATTGTGTGCGCCGCGTATAACAAAACAACAACTGTACCAGCGTCGACAATTAGGCGAACGATATTTAGCAATTTTCTTACGGAAAACACCAAAGGACAGGGGGGCGGCGGGGTGTCCATTTTGCGTAATTGGGCGTGTTAGCGAGGAGACAAGGTGCAACTATATAATGGGTCTGTAGCTAGTGGTATCCTCCACCTTGACACGTTCAGTGGTGAAATATGAACCTCAGTTGAACGCGGTGACGGGCAGTAGTGATTCGACCAACAAATCGCGACTCCTAGTTTCCCATTTTTTTTCCTACGGTGGAGCATTTTCTATATAGTTTTACAGGTACCGTACTAAACCCGAATTTCGTACATTTTCATGTTTGTTTCAATTTATCAAGTGAATTCGAACGTGGAACGAAAAACAGTTAATTCACATTCTGACACAAAGGCCGTTGGGTCATAAAAATGCATAGACTCGCAGGAGTGAGAAGTCTATTCATGAGTAATGTTTGATTTGGTTCTTTACATCTTTACCAAATTACCAAAAAATTAAAATTCATGCTTGGAAGTTTTGGTACGTTCGTTGCAAAATTGACGAAGTTCGTATGAGGTTGGGCTCAAAATTAATTAAATTAATTTAATTAATAATTAATTTATGACACAATGCAAAAAACTACAATTGACACTAAAATTATGAAATTTTGCATTATTTTTTTAACGATTTAGGTATCCAGTGGCGTGACAATATTTAAGAAAATGCTAATAAAAACTAATAGTCAAAACTTTAGGATTTTTTGATTTCGCAAATTAAATTAGGCGCGCCTTTTTCTAGAACAACTTTTCCGAGTTGTTTTAAACGTTGGTGTGCAATATTGATAATTTCGCTACTTTTAATAAGTGGGAACTTTGGAACGTTCGCTGAATCGGAAACTAGCTTCGACTCGAAAATTCGGTAGTTTTGTATTCGAGACGACTTGGTTGTAAATTGGATGAAATTTATGAATATTTTTCGAATTTTATTGTCGTCTCGACAACGCATATATTTACGAGGGCTTAACATAATTCCACATTGTTCGTTGAAATAAAAACGCCGGATAGGCATTGAGCAGCATCATTTCAGCACGAGCAATAGATTTTCGTGTCGAAACAATAGCAGCATTATTGTAATGTGGGTCAAAGGTGTAATTAATTTACGGAACGAAAGCTATAAACCCCGTTCGAGCGAGGCGCTTTTAGGGGCGACTAAGCTCCCATCAGGGATCGCGATCTCGTGATAGGTGGACGGGTAAAATGATTAACGAACTAAGAAATGTAACGTTTTTGAAGGATATTTATTTGTTTCTGTAGCATGTATTTATTGTTTGCTTTTGGTTTTCTTTTTAACAAATAGACGGTAAGAAAATTGGAACAGATTGTGGATAAATGAGCGGCTCTGTGTCTTATGCATTTATTTTAATTTTGTGTTAAGAAAATAATCCTACTAGGTTTCTCCGAAAGACATTTTTTGCTTTCCTTTTTCTTATTTGCGCGTTATATTTCGACCGAAGTTTTGGTAATTGTGTGTTTGATAACCGCAACCCTTTTTAAGCGTTCTCAAGTTTTGTTGTTTTCTATTATTTATTCGAAAATTTTGCCACATAAGTATTGCCCAAGACAATCAGCATTTAACACTGTTTAGTATTTTCAGGATTTCTAGTATGTCTTCGTTAATTTATTTGAATATAGCCATATAGTTAGTATAAAATTTGAACTGAGGTGGCTTTTACTTGATGAAAATCCATTTTTCAAAATAAATAAGAACTGAAAGTTCAGAATTTCACGAAATTATATATTTTAACATGACAATTGTTTCGACAACACAATGTCTTTATCAAATGTGTTGTCGAAACAATTGTCATGTCAAAATATATAATATAAATAATAATAATAATAAAATAAAATATATATTTTAACATGACAATTGTTTCGACAACACAATGTCTTTATCAAATGTGTTGTCGAAACAATTGTCATGTCAAAATATATAATATAAATAATAATAATAAAATAAAATATATATTTTAACATGACAATTGTTTCGACAGCACAATGTCTTTATCAAATGTGTTGTCGGAACAATTGTCATGTCAAAATATATAATATAAATAATAATAATAAAATAAAATATATATTTTAACATGACAATTGTTTCGACAACACAATGTCTTTATCAAATGTGTTGTCGAAACAATTGTCATGTCAAAATATATAATTTCCTGAAAATCTGAAGTGTTAGCTCTTATTTCTTATTTATTTTTTCCACAAACTTAAAATCAAAATTCAACATTCCCTCGCCTTTCTTTGTTATTTTTTCCGCCATCTTGTTGTAAACAATATTACGTTTTTTCGAAAATCTTAATTTAACAATTATTGTTCAAAAACTTTTTATAATTATATTTGTTATATTAATTCCCGTGCTTATTATTTCCGTTTTCTTTGTTTTTTGTTTATGCGTAGCTTTTCTTTTTCGGTCAATTAAAGTTATTTAATCGGTGATGATTACGTTACAGAATGGCGAAACCAAAGGTGCTCCCAAATCCCAAATTGCTGGCGAGCGACGTCCAGTTGATTATATTCCTCGCTTTTTTCGTCACCCTGACTGCCTTCTACGTGAACTTTCTGTGGAGAAAACGGAAAATGTTCATCCAGTCGTGGAACGTGCCCGGACCTATTAATTTGCCGATCATCGGTGCCGCTTACCTGTTTATGTGTCGACCGGATAGTAAGAGAGCACTATACGCCCGGCGAAGGCAAACTATTGACGATAGTGTGACGTACCACGGCCCACTCAATCCAGATATTTGATATTAGTTACGGTTTATCTGTCTGTGTCGGCTTCTGACGGCAAATATCGAAATAAAAGGCAATAAAACAAGTGACTCGTCGCACTGTGGCCCCCATGCATAAACTAGGTTGCAATAAATCATTATTAAAAATGCAAAATTTGTCAATGTTGTTAAATTAAGAATATACTGAAACATATAAAAACAGTATTGCTTTCTAAAAATATTTTACCGAGAATTTTTTATAAATATCAGATGTTTAAAAGAAAGTCTATTTTCATTGCGATCGCTTCAATAAAATATCGAAGTTTTCGTACTTTTTAAATGGCTTAGTAGGCGTTGAAAACAAATGCCGCTTTAAGTATTTGACAACTGATGTCAGTCCTGTTAATTAGTTTAGACCTGTACATGCAATTAGAATGTTTGTATTTTTTCTGCGATTTGACAAGAAGTGACGGGGTAAGTACCGTTAATATTAAATTTTTCAAATTCTATAGAGAAAAAAAATATGAAGGCCAACGAGTGCCAAGCAAAAATATACATTTTTTATTAGGCAAGGGTGTAAACTACTAAAAGCTCTTAGCCAAAAATGTCGCAAATAATAGCAAAACTTATGCCAGTTAAAAATGTCAACCTCTGAGTGATAAAAATATTAACAATTAATATGCTCTTAAAGTTGTTTATCGCATGATGCACAATGAGCCAATTATATTGCATCATTTTTATGCATATTGTTTTCATCTTATACACACGTTTAAACTCAAAATTGCAAGACTACTTTTGTTTTTTCGTTTTTAGAAATGTTCGAAATATCGAAAAAAACATTGATTCAATTCTGAAGTGTCTCTAGTAAGAAAAACCTTGTAGAAGAAATATTTAAAATATTTAAGTCTTTACTCGTGGTATTATACGCCCATAACCGTCCACAAACTGCTGTACCATTCCACAGATATTATTAAACATTGTGTTGGGCCTATTGGGCAGCTCTCTGAAGAGGCCCAAGAGGCACGTCATAAACATTGCCGGCGATATCGCGAGCATCACACCCAAAAAAATTCGCGCATTGCCACGAATGATGCGAATGTTATTAGTGTCCTCTGACCCCGTTATAGCCAGTTACCGGCAAAAAACTGTAAGATCAAAAAAACCACTATCATTTGATATATTGGCTCTACTTAAAGGCCCAGAGCTTCGATGCCTTACAAAAAATGACTATTTTTCGGAGACCTCCGAATATAACTTTGAGTATATGGGTAGTGAGTCTGACATGTCATGACAGCGAGAATGACTAAAATTATATTTTACCTAGTGGGTTTTAGGTTTAAAAAAGGTATGTGAAGTAGAAAACATATCTACCAAAAGTTTATTTATAAGCCAATTCTAAGGCTTTGTCTTATCCTTTAAGTTTTTTGTGTTTAGTATGATATCTTGCTTGCTGTGTTGTTTTAATAAAATAGTTATATTTTCAATGAGTTAATTTAATTTAGATAAATAGTTCATATATTTGGAAGTTGTTAACTAGTACGTTTTCTGTTTCCATAAATACAGTTAAATTATTTCACGTGACTGTAGAAGCTTTTTGAATAGAACTGTGCAGTAATTGCAAAATGTTTCCAATTTTTTTTATTCTTGTTTTGGTATATCTTTAAAATATACTCCGAAAAATACTAATGTGGCAACGCTGGAAAGTTGAAAAAAATTGCATTATTATTTACCGGCAATGTATAGCCCCAAATAATAAATTTTTTTAAGGTATTTAAGTTACTAGAAAATAATCGAATTAATGCAACCTAGTTTGGGCAATCGGCCCACAGTGCGTCGGTATTGTAGAACAGAGTATCAGAAACGGAACTTCCTCTTCAGTTTATCAAAAGTAGAAACAATCTGGTTTTGATAAAGGATGTCCAACACTTCCACTGATATCAGTCGTCTTCTCCCTTACCCAAGAACAAATTGTTGGCTGTTGGGCTTACCCAGTAACAATAGATATGAATCTCGTAATTAGTTTTCGGGGAGGGTGTGTCAAAAGCCGAAACGGACGGATATATACCATGACCAGAAATATTGTGTTTTTACAACCGAACTCGTGATTAACTTTGCCTATTGGTTATTACTCCAAAACCGCAGCCCCTTATATAGCACCCTGTCAAGCAGATCCTTAACCGTAACCATACCAGGACCATCCTAGGAATTTTTCTACCTACACTAGCAAGCGGGATATAAGTATGTTTTGAATCTTTTTCGCCTAGTACAATTTATTACGTTTCTACATAGTTTCATTATTAATATACAAAATAATTAATATAGTAATAGTAATTTATCAGTGACTTAAAAAATCGTCACTATCGCTACTGTTGTCGCCTAGTTTTGTACCAGCTTTGTACTGATATTTTAGCTACCTCACTAAATTTTGGTGCAGTGTAATTTCTTCCAAATCATCTCAATTGGTTTAAATATACAATGATACGGGGGTAATCTCAAGATTCCATGTCACTTTTGTTGTGCTACCGAATAGCAAATATGGTCTATATACAAATCGATGAACTATGTATAAGACACAAAAATACAGAAGAATTGTTGTTAATCGATAGACACACAAGACAAAAATGATTATTTCCAAACTTACTTGTAAGACCCTTACCCTTTGAACTATCCTGTGGAAACAGCCTCGCAGGGTTAAAGCTCGAGAATCAGGTACATAAATACGTATATAAATATTACTCCGTAATATATACGAACATATTGCAATTTAGATTAAACTCCTAAGAACGATACAAATCACCTGAGGTTAAAATAAACGCTTCTACTTATTCGAAAATACCCCGCAGCAAACATCTGTTGGGATGGGTTTTACCACGGTCCTGCGAAGGTCTGCGGTTAAGGTACTGTAAAGTAGTTGAAACTTCAAAGCAATAAATCCACAATATTTTCGGTCGTACGATACTTTGAGACACACGATACAATGCCCTGTAATGGAAAATTGGATGACGTCACCGTGGTAGCACGTCCTGAATGTAACGAACAATCCTCTCTGGTTTCCTGCTCTCGGACAATCAAGAACTGTAACATTTCCGATTGTTTCAGAGATCTACAGCAGATTGACAAAGTTGCAGGCCCGATTTCCTAAGGTCACCAAACTATGGTTCGGTAGTCGTCTTCTTTATTGCCTCCAGGAGCCCAGCTACATCGAGAAGATGCTAAATAATCCGAAAATGGTCGAAAAGGACTACCTGTACAAACACCTTGTCGATTGCATAGGCCACGGATTGATGACCGCTCCAGGTTAAAACTTTAACTTGACAGCACTGTACATAGTTAAGAAAATAAGAGAAAATTTTCTCCTATTTTTATATACACGGTGCTTTTTAACTAATATAGAATCTAATTAGTAAATCTTGAGCCCCACCCCGATGCTGAATGAAAAAGGTCATCTTATCCTATCATATCATCTATGGCTAACAAGTAACGCACGTTGCCAAATGTTCGGAACATATCTGCGGCAAACATACGTTAATTGACATAAATACACTGTAAAACCTATTTGGGAGATTTATCTGATCAAAACTGATATATTGCATGTTTGACAACTCGACCATTTCTTTTTATAATGTACCCATCTCAAACATCGCTTAAAGACGTCGGTAGTTTCTCACTTTACATTTATAAAACATTACAGTTTTTTTATTCAACAATAAGGAAACTATCAAATAAGAGAATATTCTAAATTATCAAAATTACAAATACTTTTGTGGTACATTGGACGACAGTTGACTTACTTTACTTTTGGTTATTTTAAACCGTTCTGACATATAAAATTAAACGAACAAAAATATCTTTGTTAATAACAAGATGGCATTCGTACTCATAAATAAGGGTCAAACTATTGTTAAGGTGCCAGCGAAGAAGTGCAGTTTTGATTAGTTGCAATTTTGCTTAGTTCTGTCAGCTGGCTGCCTTCTTCTCTGTTTTACCCACTGCACGGCTCTCTTATGTGAGCACTCGGCAGTCTGTCAAGCGATGTTTTTCTTGCTATTGATCTCATTTCTGTAGCCATCCCGCTGTATCGGCTATTGTCCCGAAAGGATATGTTCTAATAGGTCACAACACAAGCCTTTATTATTCCAAATGACAACCCGTGACTAGAAAATTCCACCCCAAGATATTCGAACTTTGGTACTTGCTTAATTATTTCGTCATTTATTACAAATGTATTTTTTGTGTGTGTTTTTTTGTGTGTATATTTTACTCTTTTACCGTTGGTCTTCATTGTCCGAGATCAAAGTTGCACAACACACAAATTTTTATCAGTTTCGTTAAAAGCCTGTATCCTTGTCCTGCATCTTTTATATTCTGTACAATTTGATCTATTATTATTGATAGTAGAGCGCTTAGGCCGTCTCCATGTCTCTATATACTACGTGGGGTGAGTTTGTTTGTTTTTTATCAGTTCTCTCAGTCTGACACGGTCAAAGGCTCTAGCTGGGTCTAAAAACACATATACGTAGGTTTGTTGAATTGCGTAACTTTTTCTGCCCTATTTATGAAAATTATGTTAAAAAAAGTTTGTGAAAAAATTTGTTTGTTTAGAAAATTATTTTTTATTAATTTAGAAAATTAAAGTGTTTGTGAATCAGGTAGAGTTTGTTCGATCTAAATTTCACTGCGACCGCAGCGGATAACATAGCATGAAAATGTGACTTATTGAAAAATGTAGTGAAGTCACGACCGAGTTAAAAGCAAGAAGTTGAGATATTTTCTTTTATCATTTTGATTGATTAAACTATTGGCGAACAAGCGGCTTTGAAATTTAAGCTCTGAAACAGCTCAAAAATTGTAAGGCACCAGGAGAGGATCAAATCACAAGCGAGATGCTTAAAATGGGAGGAGAGACACTCAAAAAAGCACTCATAATCCTAGGGTATCGATATAGACGGGAAACGCCTCAACCACTTACGATTTGCGGATGACATCGTTCTCTTCAGCAACAACACAAATGAGTTGACAACAATGATTCAAGAACTGCTTCCCAAGCTGTAGGCCCCAAAATTAACCTCCAAAAAACTAAACTTCTGAGCCCTGACAATATAAAGCTCTCCATTGAAAATCACGAGCTAGAAAATGTCAAGGGATATATATATCTAGGACACAACATCCAGCTTGAGAAAGAAAATCAGACAGCAGAGATCACCCGAAGAATCAATCTCACCTGGATAGCATTCGGGAAACTTAGCTATATCTTCCGCAACCCGACTATACCAGTGAATTTGAAAAAGAAGGTCACAATTTGTGTATCCTCCCAGTAACAATATACGGACTCGAGACTGTGACACTTACAGGGGGCAGTGTAAATCGACTCCGAGTCTGTCAAAGAGCAATAGAGAGAGCAATGCTGGGCGTAAGCCTAAGAGAGAGGATCAGAAACGAAAAAATAAGGAGAAGAACAGGGGTCTGTGACGTTGTGGAGTCGATAGTGAGTCTCAGGTGGCGTTGGGCAGGACACGTTGCTAGAAACAATCTGAAATGGACCAAAACACTAATGCAGTGGCGTCCAAGGAGAACGAAAAGAAGTGTGGCGGGTCCTCAAGCGAGATGGATCGATGACATGCTGGAAAAAACTGGATGCAAACCGCACAGCAAAGGTTGGCATGGAAATCACTGGAAGAGACCTAGGTCCAGGAGTGGATGTCTAGAGGCTGAAGAAGAAAGAAGAAAGATTTCAATCACTCTGTGTATATTTTTAAATTTCATTTACTTTTATCTCAACCACTACATTAAAATTTGTTACAAAGGCATTTTTCGAGAAAGAAAGTTATCCAATTTCACTCGCCTGTAGACAATATTAAATATATCTCAAAAACGTTGAAACATAGTTATAAAACAATAAATATCTGTAATTGAGGAATGCCCTAATTTATTTTTACGCTACTAGGTGGGTGGAGAAAAAAAAAGTTCTTCATATTTCAGGTCCCATGTGGCGCAAGCATCGTAAGGCAATAATGCCGTCTTTTAATCAAAAAATCCTCGACTCGTTCGTCGAGGTGTTCGCCGAACAGAGTCGCGTGTTGACCGACATTTTGGAGCAGCATCGTGGCAAGAAAATGGACACTCTGACGTTGGTCGCCAGATGCACGCTCGACATTGTCTGCGGTAAGCACACTCTCGCTTCAAAACTTTCAATAAAATATTTTATGGGTCTTGAAAATACATTTCAAAAACTTTTGCGCCCGCCGTAAATGTTTGGACCATCGGAGCAATTAAATTATCCATTACAATGTAATAATTGCTTTTATGGTCAGTTGTTGATGTCCTTTTCACAGTTCTGTGGTATAACGGTATATAATTGCAGTGCTGCAGGTAAGTGAAGTAGGCCCTTAAACCAATAAAACCTAGGACCATTATGTTATTTAATTTTCTCTTAGCTCACCGATGCATGTTGCGTAAGATGTCGATCAAAAATTAAAACACTATGAGGTGGCTGGACGGATATTTTATTTTATCGATCAACATTTAAAATACATAAATGAATTCTTGGTACATGGAGCCCGTTCGAAGTAGATATGGTACGCGGTTTTGGAAATACGACGCGCGTTAGTGACGTCATCATTAGCTATCTTTCTAAGAATGTCTTTTTATACATTGTTTTCCACTTAAGAACTGCACACACTTGTGACGTTTTTGTTTATGGATCAATTTCGATAATTTCTTTTGTTGGATAGACCTCTTAAAAATTAAAAAAATAAATAAATTGGCAACGAATTCTTATTCAGGGGTACATTTACGCATTTACGCCCCGCTTAAGGCTGCACATCGTTGTAAAATCTTTGATTGCGGTTTCATTTTGATAACTTTTTTTGTTGGAAACATCTCTCAAAAACGCACCAAAACCTTATGTTTCTTTTTACATCAACCTAATTTTTGATGTCAAATATCGAAAAGTGTCAACGAATTTTTATTCAGGACCACATAAAACCAACTATCTTATAATTATTTTTTGCTGGATTTTTATAGAGCATCGATTAAAGTCAAACTGATACAGTTATTTGAAGCGAAAATTCGAGAAGTACTTTTAGAGATTTTCTCAAATTGAAAATTTCAACAGATTCGTATTCAGGACTACCTAAAAGTAACTAGACCAAAGTTTTTAATGTTTTAAAAAATAAATATTGTAACCCTTGCAAATAACGATTATTTTGTATGTGATTTAAGATATTACAAATTTGTGGTGGTTTTACAAAGGATACAGTATGCCGACGTCAATCAATTTTGACGTTTCTGTTATTTTTGTTATTAGATGAGAATTAAAAAAAAAAAGAATTATCAAAATTGAGCCATAAACAAACATTCTTCAGGAGTAATGCTTAAGCGAGGCGCCCTCTATATTTCGAGCATCCTGTATTCGAACATAAGTTTTATGTAGTCCTAAATAAGAATTCGTTTACACTTTAATCTTAAAGAAATCCTTAATAGCCTTGACTTCAGGTAGATGTAACAAGAAGCATAAGGTTTTATTGCTTTTTTGAGAGATCTATCCAACAAAAAAAAAATCAAACCGTAATCAAAAACGTAAACGATATTTCAAATACCCTCTATTGAAACATTGGTTCAGTTTAGTTCTAGGTACTCCTGCGAATTTATTCATTTTTTTTTAATCCGCAATAGCACTCTCTCCTCTCTCTTTTGTTAAATAATCTCAGTTGGCCATGACTTTAACTTGAAACAATAAGCAAAACAAGGTTTTAGTGCATGTTTCAGAGACCTATCCAACAAAAAAAAATCAAAATTGAACCATGATTTTACATGAGTGTACAATTTTTTTTTATAAGATTCGAATCGAAAATCTTCGGTATCGATTCGATCCCTTCATATTTATAGTCACCAAAAAACACACAAACAAAAACTTCTCGATTTCGTTGAGGAAATTTTGGATGATCTCCAACACAAGATGCAAATTTACAAAAAAATATGGAGGAAATTAATCTTCTAAAAGATGATAATTTTATTAGGGTGTTACTTATCTCTACTGAACTTCACTTAGAAGATCGTTTAATTTCTTGATTATATTCGCACCTTCCCTACGAGATCAATATTAGATGTTAAAAGTAATATTTCTGCAAATATGCTTTGGTTTTAATGTTATATTTATATATGAAGGGGACAACAAAATTAAAAATCTGTAACCTTAAATATCACAGAGCATTTATTTTCTACTTATTTATTATGTCAATAGAAACTCCAGTGCGTAGAGCCTTAGATATAGACGCGTCTCGAATACTGTAAGAATTGAATTGTCAAATGTTCTCCCACGCAGTATTAGAATTAAATAAATCCAAGTACTAATGGTTTGAGAGAAGGCAGTTTCGTAAGGCTTCTTAAAATTTATAAATAACTATGAAATATTATTTCCAAAAACTTTGGTTCACGCACGCAAAGATATAAATTTATTTTTTTCACTGTTTGGTTCAGAAGTTTTTATACCTCCCAAACTTTTTCCAATTTCCTTTTTAATATTGAAGTTACGTTGTGAGTACAGAGATGGGTAAGACTAAATCTTTGAAATTATGCCCGGAATTTTGTACAGGTCTCGCCTAAAAAACAATGAATACGAACACCTGTGCATTTGTAATGATACTATGATTTTAAGTTTCCATTCCCTTCCCAGGTAACAGAGGGACGTCAAAATGACGTCATTAAATATTCACCAAATGACGAAAATGACGTTATATATTACGTAAGCAGGACGTGAAATGGACCTACTAATGTCTCTGACTAATGATCATCTAAGTGATGTGTTTTTTACATCAATTAATGTGTTCAATTTTTGTCAGTTAAGTGACATCTTTTTTACGTCAACTTAAAGTGAGATTTTGGTCATTACTGCCGAAGAATGTAACGATTTTTAAATTGTTTTTTTTTCCTTTTTGGCGCGGGAAAAAAGAGTAAATTAAAGTAAGTGAAGTGAATTAAATTAAATTAAATAAAGCTGAGCTTTTCTTTTAAAAAAATAGTAATGGAAGTATAATTATCAGGGACTTCTATTTGATTTTTTCACGAAAATTAGTATTTTTCATTTTGACTTACCCTGTATAAATGATTTGGACTAACTTCAAGACGAATATAGACGGTAGTATTTTATAAAATTATAGGTAAAATAAAATTACAGTTGTTGGAAACCGCGTCAAAAATATAGGTTATTAAACACAGGGTGTAAATCCGAAAACACTCGGTATAGACCATAAGAACCCCATATTTGGCGATTGAGTATAAAAGGTAGTGCCATAATATACAAGGTGTTCAATTGAAAATATATAAGTGTGATTTTCCATACATTTATTAATCACCCTGTATATTTGAAAATAATTATAAATTGTTTCTTTTAATCTCATCTATACCTTTTGTATTCAACATTTGTCTGAAAATAATAATAAACGAGATACATTATTTTGACACACTATTTGGACATTCTCCTACGTCATAGTTTTAAATAGAAAAATTTGGTAATAGTTTAAGTTAATTATTTAGTTTAAAGTCCATATCTGGAATTGATCAATTCATTTTATGGCGACATTCTGAGGTCATTTTTGTAATATATCCTTTTTTTGACGTCAATTTGACGTGTTTTTCGGACCATTCACGAGTAACTACCACTTATGACTCGAAAATGAGGTCACTTTGACGAGCGTCTGCTACTTGGGGTAAACTAATAAAATGAAATGCCGCGTTTGGGATATATAACTTTTAATGACGCCAAAACAACGACATCGATGAGTGGATTAAACTACGCTCGGTAATTGTTCGCTCTCCTTCACCCTCTTCATTTTATCCGCCAAAACCACTCGGTTGACTTGATTTTGTAGTGTTGTTCCTGTCTTTATCGCCCCGAATGCTTCTTTGAGCATCTGCTTCGACGCAGCAGTCAAATATTCAGGGAACTCGACCTCAAACTCGAGAATCAGGTTTCCGCTCTCGGGATACCGTTCCAATATCGGCAATCCTTCGCCAACCACGATTTTCTTATAAGTGGGTGTCACCACGTCCGTTAATGGCACCCTGATCACCCTACGATCGATCGTGGTGATAGTGACAACGGATCCGATTAGGGCGTCTTCGAGTGACACCTTCACCGTCATCACCAAATCGTCGCCGCGTCTCGCGAACGTATCGTCCGGCTTGTCTTCAGTTACGAATATGACGTCGGCCGGTAAAAAGGCGGGGTCGTCGTCCCCTTCGTCGGCGAACACTATTTCGGTACCCGCCCTCAGGCCCGGCTGGATCGGTATCGTTAAAATTTTCTCTCTCGGTTCGGTTCTGTCGCGACGCGCGTCGACGTACGTCAGTCGACGTATCTTCATTTTCTTCACGCCGCCGAAGAACACCTCGCGCAACGTCAACGCCAACGGGTGCGTGACGGGTGGCTGTTTCGGTAATTTTGCCGCGTAGCTGTTTCGTGGTTTAAACGGTTATTCAAAAAATTTCGAAGTAACGGATCGACAAGGAGTTTCGTTGTTTTATTATTTGGCGCACCGCGGTCGGATTTTGTAAAAACAATTTGCAAAAAAGTGCAATTTTTATATTGCGATGACGCAGATACGTGAAAGCTAAGAAAATGTTTTCATTAAATTAGGATATTATTAATTATTTAATGTGATAGCATATTTTTATGTTTTATATTATTATTTTATATTATATGAAGTTAATAATTATCATTAATAACATAAATTCTCAAGAACTTGTAAAAATTATTACTTCATTTAATGTAAGATTTCATATTTTCGATTTACCCTGTATAACGTTCGTAAATTTTTTTTATGTCAGTGTTTTAGTGCAAAATTTTATACGAAATCCGATCACGGTGTTCCGGTACGTTGGTAAATAAAGCAGGAAATCAACGGGAAGCTAATCAAGTGACCTTTGCATCAAGCGTGTTACTTTTTTATACCGGGTGTCTATCTTTTAAAGCTAATCTGTTTCTTGTTTCGTTACGTAAATACTTATTTGTAAAAAACATTCAGCTGAATACTGCACCCTCCTTTTTTTGAAACAGGTGAGTGATGGTTAGTTTGGCTTTGTATCGCCATCTGTAGGTGAGTGGCGAAATTTCTCTCATTAGTTTGGATTCGGCAAATCTTTGGTTAGAACCTGTTCCGCGATCTGTCGATGATGTGATTTCGTTATCTTAAGGTTTCCTCGAGGGTCGGAGGCTGCAAAAGTCGTCACTCCTTCCTACTAATTGGGTTATACGAAGCATGTTTATGTATTTTTTTCAGATTTCATTTTAAAACTTTCATTTGGTTGTTAGTTATCCCTTGATAATTTTTTTTGGTTATTTGGGTTTACTTGGTGTCAGTTTAGAATCGATTGGCAGAGTGGAAACATGGTAAGTTGGTGGTTAGCAATATGCACATAAAAGTTTTTTTAACCTTTTGTCGGACCGCAAAAAGTCAAGAGGTTATTTTTACTAAGTAATAAATCGCGATTTTTAAAATGTAAATTATTTTTGAAAAAAGCAACGGCGTACCATCGGCATTTTCCTTTACGAGTTCGCCGTTTTTATCCTCTACAGTTCTCTTACATTCCGGTCCCCTACTCTTAGATCTCTCTCAATCATCGCATGTCCAATGTATGTCTCCCATCTTGGTGCCGGCCGTCCTATTCATCTTCTCCCTGAAGGTTCCCATTCCAGTAATCGTTTTGGCCACCTGTGTTCTGCCATTCTTTGTACGTGACCATACCATTGATTTCTAATTTCCTTATTACCGAGCATTCTATTCCCATTCGTTGGCAAATTTCTGCAGTTCTTATTTTGTCAGTTCTTGTGACTTGTAGACATCTTCTCATAAATTCCAATCCGACCGTTCTATTTTTATAATTATAATTTGATATTTTGTATTATGCTTTGGAAAATTCTTTTTTTGTTTTCTTTAGTGAGTGTATTGTTCCATATCAGTTCCATGTTCAGTCCCCACAGTTCGTATTCTTCCTTTAGCTTTCTTATCATGTATGTACCATGTCCTCTTTTTCTTGTGCTAAAAATAACTTGATCATCCGCGAAAAGTATTTCCTTGTATCGGTATGACCATCCTTCTGCACTTCTTATACATATAAATAAAAAATATAATGATATTATATATACGATTTTGTTATTTACTTGGATACGCGAAAAACAAATGAAAATCGTAACGGAGAGGTGTTTCTTTTGTTAACTAAAGATGGAGTGTTGACAAGTAAATTTAAAAATAATATTTTGCTAAATTACCTGGAAAAAATAAATATAGATCTTAACAGTTTTAAAAATTTAAAGCTGATTATTTTTTTCTAAATTTACGCTGTTTGTTAAAAATAATAAAAAAAATTGATAGTATTCTTTATAACATTGTTAAAAAAATAAAATTTTATTAATAATAATCACAATAAAATAACATAAATAATAATAAAATTTGTTTTATAATATTTTGTACTATTATTTTAAATTATCACTGATAAAACCTTCAACGCAGTTCGAGACGCTCGGCAGCGCTTCGCTTTCGCAGCGCTCGGCGCGCTGTCATAAATAAATTAATTTTGTTTAAACTAATGGCGAGCAGTGAAATTTTCTTCCGGAAGCTTAAACTTAAATGGATAAAGAAAATGACCGATAAAAAAAACATGATTTTTTTTATCAGGAAATTAGTTAAATTTTCATTTGTTAACTTATGATATATGTAACTTATGTATATATTCTTAAAATATAGACATGGATGTTGAAAATTTCATAAATTTCTGTCTGACGGTTGATTTTTAATCCATTTTTTAATTAAAAGTGCTTAAAATTTTCATTATAAAAAAAATGTTGTTAAAATCAAATTTAAAAACACCGTTTGGGGGGATCAAATTTCCATCATAAGTACTTATAAAAAATATATATAGATCAAGTTTTTATGATCAAGTGTTAAATGGGGGGGGGAGTCCACTGCTCATGTATATTCTTATGCTGGAATTTGGTATCGGTTATTAACAAGTCATGTTCTCGACATATTTCCAATATTCTATTTCCATTGTCATTTTTATCTTCATCTTCTCCGAATCGTCCCGCTATGTCTTCGTCTTCCTTTCTTACATGACCATTAAAATCTCCAATTAACGCGATATCTTGTCCTTTATAGTGTCCAGTATATCGTTTAACGTATTAAAGAGTTCTTTCTGTACTCGAGTTGCATTGTTGCTCATTTCATATGCTCCATGTATTGTTACTGATTGTCCAAACATTTTCATCTTGATTTTCAGTATTCAGTATTAGTTTCGATAAAAATATTGAGTACCATGCTTACCCACATGCCGTTGACTAAAGTATAAAAAAAAAACTATGTCGTTGTTGTTGACCTCTACCAAAACAAAATATCTAAAGCAGTTACAATTAAAATGAGAAGAAACGAACCTAAATCGACTTGAAATTATCTAAGAAATCACACCCTGTATATAAAATTCATTACCGGTATTCGACCGGGTGCCCAGGCACCAAGAGGTCGGCGTACGGCGAATCTGTGCCGAAGAAACACCGGTAAGTCTTGATCGGGTCGCCGTGGTAGCGGTAGTTTTTCTTCAAACCCTCTTCGCCAAATCGATCGAAAATCGCCCGGGTTGCGGGATCCACGAGGACTTCGTAGGCCTCGCCGATGATGGCGAACACCTGCCCCGAGTCGCTCCCGCGCACCCTCTGAGGATTGAACTCGAGCGCCAGCTTACGGTACGCGCGTTTGATCTCCAGGTCGTTACTGGTCCGCGGTATTTGGAGTACTCCGTAGTAGTCGATGCCCATGGTCATTTGGTCGTTGACGTTGACGTTGACTGATGACGTTATATAAAAAGTATACGCGGCAATATACCCGGCGATAGCGATGTTTAAAACCCGTCTTCTGCAAAACTTTTCTCATAGATATGTAGATTGTTTTATTTTAGTGAATGTTTACAGCACGTCTAAGTACAAAAAAATGTAATTATAAAAATTATATATATATATATATATATATATATATATATATATATATATATATATATATATATATATATATATATATATATATATATATATATATATATATATATATATATATATATATATATATATATATATATATATATATATATATATATATATATATATATATATATATATATATATATATATATATATATATAAGATATATTGAAAAATCTAATTTGTTTTGGTTGGTTCAATCTCGATAGTGAATTTTATACGATTATGTAATTAATTAATGTAATTTAAAAAAAAATTCAATTGTCTGTCCGTTCCAACAAAGCAAGCAAAGATATCATCCACGTATCTGTACCACCATAAAAAAAATTTACTTAAAGGATGTTCTAGTATGATATTTTCCAAATTATCCATAAAAATGTCGGCTAACAAGGGACTAAGTGGGTTTCAAATAATCAAACCTTCTTTAGAGATATAAATCTGTCCATTAAATTCAAAATAATTTTGATCTAAAGATACTATTAAGCAATCTAATAAATCTTGTTTCACCAGTGAGTTAACCTGTTTCCGGGTAAAAACTACTAAATCTATCACATCCATAGGCGGAATACAATTTATTAAATTTGAAACGAGTTACCGTTTTGGAATTATCGAAACATATTACTAGTAGTAACGTTTTTTTTTTTAATTATTTTTCCCCGCCAGAGACGGCAATGGGCCTGCAGTTGAGCATCCAGAAAACCGATGCGGAATACGCTATACTGTTCGACAAGTAAGTCGTTTATCAATATAGGCGACTCCCCGTGAAGTTACCGCATTGTTTCAGAATCATGGAATTGTGTTTCATAAAAATTTTCCACATCTGGAATCACAACGAGTTCGTGTGGAACCTTGGAAGCGGTCGTTTGCTAAAAGAATACCTGCGGCGTTTCAACCAACTGGCACAGAAGGTAAAAAATGAAACCGTAGTGTCGTCGGATATACTCTGTACCGGCTTAAGCATTTTCTAGTTTTCTTTCTTTCTATGTTCCGGACGCGCTTTTTTCTTTCCTACTACGCGTCAACACGTTCATTGCCCGAATGTTGGGGATAAAATTTCTCTGTTGATCTTTTCAAAGTAGAGCGCTACACCGAACCCAAATTTAGTACACTGCAGTTTTTAAATATGTTTCATCCAATAATTATATAAATAATAATAAATAATAAAAACTAAGAAAGAAATATATGAATAAATTCAGCAAAACAATTATACAATTTACGGTTTTATTTAAAAGAAATTTACTTTGTTTAATGAATTATAGTTTACGCAGTTTGATTAGAGATTTAATTAATTAACTTTTTTGATACGAAAAAGACAGAAGGGAAGAGGAAAAAGATTAAGTAATACTGCAATTTTTTTATATTTTCACCAGAAAGTAGCAGCCAGTTTTTGCAACAAAAAAACACCGCAAAGCACAAAAACAGAATAAGTATATGTAAACTTGCCTGAATTAAGGAAAAAAGGTAACTAAACTTTTTGTTTTTTGTTTTTTTTTTTAAATAATATAATTTTTTTAAATACGTACCTGCAGGTTTTTCCTCCATTTTAAATTGTTATATGTAAAAATTCAGTATTAATTTCAGATATTCAGTAAGTCCTAGCTTTAAATTAATATAACAACCAAATAATCCAGATAATTAAGTGCTTAATCACGTAATGAAAACAAATATTGTTTGGACTTCTTATTTTTTGATTATCGATGTCACCTACCTGCGAAATTTCGTAGGAGGAACGTCGACCTGTTACAATTTGAGCCGGTACGGAGTATACTTGAGTCACGGTTTGCGCGATTGATCGATATAGTGTTTTTCAACGGTTGCATTATAGGTGATCGAGGAGAAAATGGAACTGAAAAAGAGGCGGAAAAATTCCGAGGCCAAAGTCGAAGGTAAAACGGCATTTGGTACCGAGTATTTTCTCCTAGCTATATACGGAGTCTCTCGAAATTATTCATTATACCGTGTGTCAAAATCATTATTTTATATAATACTTTTCGGAGTGCCCCGCATAAATATTGATATCGTAGTTTGGGTTTTTGTTCTCATTGTTTTTCATTGCTATGCACGCAGGTATTATAATAATTAAAAATAGCCGATTAAACTTTAAAAAAAAACGGGAAAGTAAAAAAACAGCAAAGGAAAGGAAAGGAAAAGCATTTATTTTTAGTTATTATTTTTTTCTTTTTCTTCTCACGTTTTTGTGCTTGTTTCTGTTCTTTTTAGCTTGGCGAATGAAAAAAAGTCCCAAATAATTTTGAAACATGTTGAAAATGAATAAGGAAATGGGGGTTTGGGGTTATGCTTCAGATTACAAAAATGTTTATTTATTTGAAACGGCGACGTTGCAATAATTATTAAAAAAAAAATGAAACAATCGAGTCGAGCTGAAACACACTTGCAAAATGTTTTTTAAATGCACTAACTCAGATTGATAATAACAATAATAACACATATAAATTAACTACAGTCAAGTTCTCAAATTCAAATATTTGTTAAATACAATATCAGCAATACCATAGAATCAATTGGTAAAAGAGTTTAAGTTAGTTTAATATTTCCCAATGGCCGACATGACATGACGTCATAAGGCGTTTTCGCTCTGGACTTGAAGTCCCGCATATTAATAAAAATAATTATCAAATAGACTTGTTTTGCTTCGTGCCTAACCCTTATGCCGTTTGATCTGATCTGATCGTGGACGGGCTGACGAAATTTGTTGACTGGAAAAAGCCTTTGAGAAAAATCGCTTTCGTTTTGGAAAATGGCCATTAATTTTGAGACACTCCGTATATATTTCAGATGCGCCCAAGAGATTGGCGTTCTTGGATCTGATCATGCAGAATTCCGATTTTTCGGCAATCGAATTACGGGACGAGGTGAACATCTTCCTATTTGCCGTGAGTTTGCCGATGCCGAAACGGTGGCGGCAGTATCTTTTTTTTATATCGTTGTTGTTATTTTAGGGCACCGACACAACGGCCTCGTCGCTTAGTTTCTTGCTCGCCGTTTTGGGCATGTTTCAGGATATCCAGGTCGGTTTTTTTTGTTTTGAAAAAAAAAAGTCGCCTAAAGGCGAAGTGGCTAAATAAAAATTTCAGGGCAAAGTGTACAACGAGGTGATAGAGATAATGGGTCACGATAGGTTGCCCGAGTACAAGGATTTACCACTTATGAAGTACACGGAGAGGGTTATCAAGGAAACCCTCAGGCTGTTTCCTGTAGGGGCGTTTTTCCTTAGGGCCGCCACGGAGGATCTCGATTTGGGCGAGTTTTCTTTTTTAAAATGATCATTTTTTCGACAATTGGCATCTTTCTTCGTTTTCGGAACTTTCCGGAAAATTTTAATAAGTATTTTTTTTCTACACGTTTCAATAGTTATTATAAAAAAAAACATATGAGCGCTTAGAGGACAAGCGGTATAATATACGGAGAGTTAACCAAAAGTGTTCTGTAAACGAACATTCGTTAAAATTTTATTCTCAATGTTCTATGTTTTTTTTTTTTTGTAGGCGACATAGTCATGCCTAAGGGGTCGTCGGCATTCTTCGGTACCGTTTTCATCCATCGCAATCCCAAGTACTGGCCCGACCCGCTAAAGTTTGATCCGGACCGGTTTCTACCCGAGGAAATCGCAAAACGGCACCCATGCACGTACATACCCTTCTCGTACGGGCCCAGGAATTGCATCGGTGAGTGACGTTTCCGTCTCATCTATGTCACGCGCACGCCTCTGCATTTTTAGCACTTTATTCATGCATTTGTGGGAATAAGGAACGAATTTAACCAAAATTAGCTGCCAAATGCAACGGAGCCAGATCTCCCCGATAGTTGTGGAAATATTTTAATGTCAAGTAGGGACCTTTCGTTGACATTTACAAATACTCTGTACATTGTTGTCCCGGCTGGACAAGGTCTTTGCCTTCTTTACAACAATAACTTACTAACGCTTTTTTGGTTTATAGTGGCGGTTGACTATATTTATTTTAGAACAAACATACATTCGTTTATTTTATTATTGTTCAAACAATAATAAAAAATTAGTTTTGATCTAACGAATTCTCTTAAAATATAACATTTCCTTATTTTGAAAATTCTATGAAAAGCTTAAAACCTGTAAATAAACTAAGGTTAAACCAGTTGATATCAAAAATATATTGGGAAAAGATTAACTCACATCAACGTAAATAAGACATTCAAACAAATATATCATGTTTTTTTTTTTTTAAATTAATTGAACCGTTTTTTTTTCTGTATTCAACCATACTGTTTTTTATATTCTGAGGCAACCTATTAAAAACCTTAAAGCACGCTAATGTTGGAAGTTTTTCTATTAAAGATAGTTGATAGTTCAGATGTGTCAAGAGTTGTTAGTTTAAATTTATCTTGATTTTAATGCAGTAGTTGAAGTAAAAATATTTCTATATAGGGATACAAATTTTGTTCGACATGACCTCATACCTTTTTTTCAGTTTTAAAATTAAGATTCTATATCATATTTAAGTCCAGCCTCCAAATCTTAAATGAAATTTTAAATTGAAGAATTGGATCTAGGAAAGGTTTAGCGTCACACCAAATTATTATGTGCTTTTGTGTTTAAAAGGATATGGTCTGTTCATAGATATAAGAAAGTGACCAATTGTTTTTCAATGGGTGGTCATTAACATACAATGCAACAAGATTATTACCTAAAGTTTCGGAATTTAAATTCAGGTAAAATTGTGGTCCGTAATACCTATCTGTGTTTAATATTCTTTAGTTTGGTATACTACTTAGTTTAAGTTCATTAGTAATTATTCTTATGTGCGAATTATGCAAAATATGTGCGAGTCTAGTGTATCTCAAGAGATGCTCCCGCCCAAATGTAGAAAACACTATTCTATTGAGACTGCGCAATCAAAAAAAGGTAAAATAATAATTATTTTGCATGCTGGCGTTAAAGATGGTTGGATTTCAAATGGCCTTTCTCTGCCAGGTAAAATTGTGGTCCGCAATAGAAAATAATTTTATACCTACCTGTGTTTAATATTCTTTGGTTTGGTATACCACTTAGTTTAAGTTTATTAGTAATCATTCTTATTTCGTGTGTAACACAGTGTGTGTTGAATGGTGTGCGAATTATGCTAAATATGTGCGAGTCTAGTGTATCTCAGGAGATGCTCCCGCCCAAATGTAGAAAACACTATTCTATTGAGACTAAGGAAGTTAAAAACAATGTTTATTTGACTCTCATTGAACGTGAAGAAAGACCACATTGCCTAAAATTCCAACATCAACTGTATGGAAAATTGTGAATAATCCCATTTCAGCGAGGAAAAAAAAAGCGATGCTGACATTTTCTCGAGTGTAGATGAAAGTGATCGAGATATAATACAAACAAAGCGCGCGTACATTAGATATCTTAGGAGGCTTGAAAAAGATGAAACCGGTGTTAAATGTGGCAGAACTATCTTATGCAAGTGTATTCAAAACATGGGTTTTATATTTCAAAAAATTGATAAAAGGCAAGTTTTAATGGAATCTTCTAGAATTCGGAAATGGCGACCGGAATATCTGGTTCGACACTTATGATACCCCGGAAAAGGGTCGGGTTGACTCAACTGATAAGTGTAAAACAAACACGTCATCACAAAGAGGTAAAAGAATAACTATTTTCCATGCCTGGCTCTAAAGATGGCTGAATTCCAAATGGACTTTCTCTATCTGCGAAAAATATTAAAGAAGATTCTTCTCTGGATTACCATGAAGACACCACCGCCGATTTATTTGAAAGTTGGTTTAAAAACAAGCGGGTTCCAAACATTCCTCCTAATAGCGTCATTGTAATGGACAATGCAAGTTATCACAAAAGACAGTTGACTAAAACCCCTGCCCCACGCGATCCAAAAACGACATTTTTTTCACGAAGATTATACCAAAAAGCAATTAATTCAGGTTCTACAAAGCTTGAACCTACAAAAGGAATACGTATGTGATCATTATTTTAAAAAATCTAGGGCATGCAGTTTTAAGGCTTCCACCTTACCACTGTATATTTAATCCCATTGAACATGATTGGCACCAAATGAAATCTGCCATTCGTCGTAAACCGATCTAGCGTGCGGGAAGCGTCATTTTACTACGTCACGAATTTTGACGTTTATCAATTCTGACGGCCATGTCAGTGAATGTATTCGTGTTGTTTTGCAAAAATGTATCTAAAAACTGACGGTCGTAGAAAAAGTATAATATGCAAAGCGTTCGGTAAACTTTTTTACTCACTCGTTTATTAAAAGCTCGTGAGTCAAATGCCGTTTACCGCACTTGTTGCATAATATACTATTTTCACCGTGTTAATTCCAATGTCCTTAAACTTATAGAAACCGAAGTTTTTAACATCCCTCCACAAAGTTGGGCAAATTGTGTTAAACATATAGAAAAAGCAGAACAATCGTATACCGTATTGGAAATCATATATGCGATGGCGATGATAGCGATAGTGATACTGATGTATTATGTGAATAATTTTAAGTAATTTAAATAGGTAATAAAAATAATTTGTAATGTTATTTTAGATTTAAACATAAATACATACATAAGTATGTATTTATGTATGTATAGTATGTTTCCTTTTCGGCCATATTTTATTCTTACGGCTCGCCCGGGTCTTTCCTTAATTCGTATCAGTTAGTCACTTTCTCATATCTATGAACAGACTTTATAAATAAATTTTAAATGTGCCATCGGTATACGTGTGATTTTGATGTTCGTCACATAAACATTATACGGCTCGTCTCGGATGGGGATAATAACATTGCTTCCATTTTCGCGTGAGCGAACGCATATATCATCATCAGTCAACATTGTGTTTTCAGTGTGTCATTGTGTTATATTTACACTCGGTGGAAGTGCATTAAGTTTATATAGTTCATCTTAATCTTGTCATTTTCACCTTATCGCCGCAGGTAAGTATGCCTTATTAACGGCGTGTGTGCAGGAAATGGAAAAAAGCGTTACATAAAATTAGTAGTAGTAGTAAAAAAAAAAAAAAAAGTGCCGCGACGATTTCGTTAAAGGCATGAGGTACGCGATGATGGCGATGAAGACGATAGTGGCGAACGTGATACGGCGCATGCGCATTTACTGCGATTACAAATCGATCGAGGAGATTCAGTTGAAAACCAATATCGTGCTGAGATTCCGCGACGGTTGCAAAACGTCGATGGAACTTAGGGAGGTGGACAACGCCAGGGAAAAGAATGCCTAAAACTTACGAACCTCTCAATTAAAAGTTCGACGCGAATGGTACTTGGCGTTCGATGGGAAGCAGAATTTTTGACGAATTTTTTTTTCGGAGACGTTAAACTCGAACACCCGGTACGGTTGAATACCTATATATTTTTTAATTGGACAAAAAAATACAACAAGTCGTCTGTGATATATGTTTTATTTCTTAAGGGGTACAGTAACTATGTGCTTGATTGCCATTTTTCCGTTTTTTTTTTTACAACATAAATTTGGAGTCGTAGGTTTTCTGCATAGTATAATATAATAAATATATAAAATATCAATAGCAATTAAAGCAACAGCGGCTTTCGTAAATTTTTGTTTATACCTTTCACATCGGAACAAAAGCTGAAAATAATTTAAAAAAAAATCAATTAACGGATAAGATTAAGATTAAAAATTCAAAATATGAATCTCGTCGTTTCGTTTCTTTTCTCTTCAACTACTTTCACTGTTTTTTTCTAAAAAAAAAAACCTTCGTTGATTTTAGTAGAAAAAATGAGCTGAAACTGCCCGCCCGCGTTAAGTTTAAGTATTTTAATTGCGAGGTTCGCGTATGAAATTAAAAATGAAATTCTTTATCGAAAATCATTTTTATAAAAAAAAAAATGGCGGAAATATGTTTGTTTAATTTGTAATGGCATTGGGATGCGGTTTTTCGAAAGTATTGCGAGTATTTCAAATAATTGTAATATCATATCAATCCTTCATGTCCCAGATCCATCCCATATGACTTACGGAAATAAAACTCACCCAGATGTATTAGTCATTTTTTTTTATTGTAAAATTGCAACAATAAAAGGTAAAATTAATAAATAAGACAATAAAAATTGTATAGTCCGGTTAAGGTATATAGTAATAATAATACACGATAATAAAATGTTGTACAATTGTTCTCGTCCAAAAAATCATAAAACTGGTGGGTTATAATTATTTTTAATACGAAAGTTGGAATGTGATTTCTAAGTCTGTCGCTAGAAACATTGAGCCTTTTCAAAAATATTTCTTCCGATTTTTAAAAATATCTAACAACTTGAACGATTTCTACGCGTTTGATTTGTTCCTTAAATACAATATAATATTATACTTGATCCACTATACGAATATGGGCTCACCCCTCCTCGTTTTACTCTTATATGTCCATTTTTATGAGGTACTGCCCACCTACGTTCCCCTTTCTGAAGTAAAACGAGCGGGGTCGCGAGAGATAAATTGTTCGCCATTATATTTCAAATTCAAAATTAACGATAAATGTTAGCACCTATGTGGTAAGGGTAAACCGTAAAAAATTACGCGCGAATAAGCGGTTAGTAACGCGAGGAGAGGATGAAGCGGAGGAAAAACATTTTTTTCTTTGTTTGCCCCCGTAAAAACGACCCCCTCCCCCGCAATTTCGATATATTTTGATTACGCGTTTTTTTTTTTGTCAAAAATATGTCGGGAGCTTCCTGGACGTTTTTCTTCTCGGGATGTTTCTCGACTCGGGCGGAGGCCACATTAAAAGTTTGTACTTTGAGTATAATCAATTATTGACGTCATGTTTTTTTTTGCACGCCCACCTATTATTGGCAAGACCGTCTCGTTTACGTATCCTCGTTAGGGTTGAAAAAAGTGCGGTTAGACTAGACTACACTAACACTACAGTAAGTGTTATATAAAAAAAACTACCTTAGGGCCTATGATATTGCTTCCTAATAACACCCTGTGTCTTTCTTCCTCTACAAAGGCGTTTTCGCACTCCACGCCATCTGGTGGAATGTTGAAATTTTTTTAAAAAACTGATATACGCGATCTGGCCTACGAACTATACGGTAAATAGCACCTGGCGCCACCGGACGGACAGTCCGGCGACTACTACTGGAGGATCGATAGTCGATCCGTCTCTCGTCTTCTCTGCCCTTCAGGCTTTGAAGGAGACGGGGGCGGGTATTTTCGACAAGTTATTCTCCGGTCTCGAGTCCTTCCTGGGACTCCGGTAGGACACGCGTTGCGGCGTTTGCCTGACGAATTTCGTCGGGGCCTGCGCGTAGTCGTCCTCGTTGTCGAGGGTGCTCAGGCTGCCGTATTTACGGAGCAGTTCCTGGACCTGTTGCCCGTGAAAATTTTATTTAACGGAATTAAATTTTTTTATATTTTGTAGCTACATAGTTTTTTCCGTCGTTTTTGAATATTTTTACAAAATTGAGAGAATCGATGAGATTTTATGTTTCGTCAAAAAGTTTGAGGGTGACTGACTCACCTGCATGGCTATGGTCTGATCGTCGTCCGCACGTTTGACCGCGTCAAGCAGCTCCTGCTTGAGTCTGCTTTTGGTGGGCGACGTGTGTGCCGACGCCGACGTCCTTCTGTTATCGCTCACCGCCGACACGCTTCTTCTCGCTGAAAAAAAAAAATCGTTTGCGATTTTTCCTTCCACTTTTTGATACATATCAGTTTTTTTTCTCTTGTTCCTCTGAAATAATCGATCAGTGCGCTTTTATTTTCCGTAGAGATTAGGGCGTTAGCCTCTCGCTGTGTAATTTTCGTGATAACTGTGCAAGTTGCTTTCTTTGGAGGCAACGGATAGTTCCAAGGTACGTTATCTTTTTCTCTTTCAACATATATTTCATTGATCAGTTTGATTTAGCAGATTTAGCAGCGTTTATCACGTACACCTGCTTTTGGAAGTTTGTTCGCTCCTTCGGCATAATGTCAGATGCTGGTGGATCAGTTTAGAGTCATGCGACTCAATTTTGGTTCGTTTTGGTTAGTGCGGCTCGACTTCTTAGCCCCAGCTTTGGTGGCGTATGGCTCAGATTCAGAGGCGTGAGGCTTGATTTTAGAGTCGTGTGGTCTCAAATTCTCTCATTTTGTAGTTTATAGACCATTTAGTTTTGGCTTTAATTGAAGAACAACCGAACATCTTTCTCATTGCAAATAAGGGCATCATCTCGTTTGCAATGCCAACTCGTTTTCCAACCAACAACAATGCCAATGTTTTCAGAAGGGTATTGTGGAAATTATCTGTCATCCGAGACAGTTAAAAAATAAGTTACGTAAAGCTCAGTCGGAGTTTGCGAGAAAAGAGCTGACGTATTGGATCTTAGTCGCAAATGTCACAGTAGCTTCACCGTTACTGCAAAGAATTCTACGGTCAGCATCGCATTTGTATGACGACGAAAAATTTGAATTGCTTCGTAAAGAACAAGAGCTTGAGATCTCAAATGATAAGAAAACGATAAAGACAAAACGGGTAAGCTCGTCATTGTAAGGGCCAATTCTTGAGATACAGGCACAAAGCTCTGATTATCCGAGGAGGCCGACAACTTTACTAAGTAAAATGGATAGTTATAGACACTCCGTTAAGTCTCTTTAATATCATCAAAGTTTTCTGACCGTATGTTACAGGAGCGTATACTGTATTTTATGAGCTTCCTGCTCTTCAGCGTTTAAACAATCTCAGCAACTTTCAAGTAACCATTTCCGCTTCCACCTATTTGGGAATATCAAATGTTGATTGTGGCGGTGGAAGCATGGCAAAACGTAGCTGAGAATTTTGTTTTATAGAGTTTGTTTCCCCCCTAAGCCGATTGCATTGTCGCAGACTTCAAATGTTGGCCAATCGACAAACCACAAAAAGAAGTTTGCTTTAAGCATTTCATGAATAAAAGAAAAGTTGGTTAGATTTGCACATGACAACAGTGCACAAAAGTAACAGACACACATGTATTCAATAGCTAGAAGCTAAAAGAAAATAGAATTAGTTCAGTTACTTCAATCCGATAATCCATCTTCTAAAGCAGACTTTTAAAATAACCCACCGATTTAACATAAACCTGACTTCACATTATATCCCAAGGGTTTACATGCTTTCTCTCCAGATAGCTATCCCGGAGTGGTATCCGTCTCAACTAATCGGCGTAATTTCTGGGGGTACGTCGGATCTGGATCTTTATGATCGGTCAAAATGCGAATGTCGTGGATGATTTCTATCGGATTTGAGATTGCAGCCTAGACCGGATCTCTACGCCTTCAACTTTGTTGTTCTTCAATATCTGAGCAAATTAAAGGGCCTACATAATAATGGCCCCGAGATGGGAGTTTTGTGGAAAGTTTGTGGAAACCTGGACCTTGGAGCCCGAGCTCTGGGACCTCCCTTCCTAATTCCAGATTTCAGTCCACATCTGATAAATACGAAGACCAACGGGCCATCGCGTGAAACCAATCTTTTGACTTTGGAAAGTTCTAAAATTCAGGCTGAAATGTTCAAGTTGTGCACAGAAGAACACACAGGAACGCGCAGCACTTGCCATTATCGCCACGCAAAACAAGTTATGATTGATTTCACCGTTGCCGAAGAAAAATGAAAATTGTTGCCAACTTATACCAAGGAAACAATCCATGACCGCCAGTTGAGTAAAAAATATTTCTGTTGAGGTAAAAATAAATTCGCCATTAAACAATTAATTAATTCCTTCCCTCAAAATAACTTCGTTCTTACAATTCTTTTGGCTTTTCTATTCTATCGCGGTCAAAAATACGAGCCCTGCAGTACATGGCCATCGAATGTCTTGTAGAAAAGCAACTCGCACAGGGAAACATTATTAAACGTGCGCATCGTCAGGCAGGATTGAAGGCGTCGAAAATAAGAGGACTCCAAGAGGCTCTATCCCATAGCCGATGTTGGCTATTTCTCGCCAATCGGCAAGAAATGGAAGGTAGATGAAGCTACGATAATTACGCAGAAAGAAAGAAAGAAAACGCACCATTGAGGCCGTGTTAGGCATGAGCAGAGCAAAGTTGAAAATTCTGCACACCTTAGACACTGCAACCTCAAATACACACGATGATGTACTTGGTTACACATTTGTCTTCGTTTGGTTTTATCCTTCGATAAAGCCTGCCAGTCCTGCACTTTCATTTCCTTTGGGTCATTTTGAATCCATTGTGTCGGCGGCTTACCTCCACCCATTCTTCCAGTTATCCGCCCGCTCAGGATCTGCTTAGAAGGAGGTTTATCTCCCAGTCTTGCTTCATGTCAAAGCCACCTTAATCTTTGAGCTCTTGAAACGTTCGTTATGGATAGTTCTCCATAGAGTTCTTTATTAGTCCTTCTGAGCCACTCATCAGCTCTTTTCTTTCGACCAAATATTCTTCTCAATACTTACATTTCTAATGCTTCCGCCTTTCATACGGCACATCCATACAAGATTAAGGTTTACTGTCATCATCATTGTTTTGTACACTCGACTCCTTGACACGTGTATGTGATGTAATTCCAAAATACATCACATATTAAGAACAAGGACGCACGATGATGAGGGCGAGATATTGTGTCGAGGTTCGGAGGTAAAAATATTCAAAATTAGGGACTGATATTCTGAAACTTGAGAATCTAAAGGACATGCCGCCCCACGAACTTGATGGGGTAAGTATAAAATTGGTTGCAGCGACGACTTACCGGTTGAGTTTCTCTGAAATGGAGGGGGCGTGAACGTGTCGCTGCTCAAACTGGGTCTCGCGCTCTTCGACCTCCCGTTCCAGGTGTTGATCTTCGACTCCGGTTTCTTCACAGACATCGTCGTCGGAGTCGTTTTCCTCACGCCGTGGCCCTTGAACGTCTCGGGACGGTCGGTGCTGAGAGAACGTCGCAGGATCGGTTTCGATTCGTCTTCGTCTTTGATTTGGACCGGGCGTACGGGTTTCAGCAATGAAACAGCATCCGTCTCGACGCAGATCGGTTTCGGTTCCGGCGTCGCTCTCGTCAAAAATTTCGGCTCGTTTTCGTAGATGCGCTGCGAGAAGCTGGTTTTGCGCAGACCGAAATCGTTCAGTTCGTCCTCGGTATACACTTGATGATGTTCTGGAATACGCGTACCCAATTTTTTTTCAAATAAATAAAATAATTTTGCGGATAAAATGTACAGTGCGTCATTATTAATAAAACTTTCGTGATGCAGTGCTAACTTTTTAATAAAATGAAATGTGGCATGAACAGGGTCGCAGTCAACATTTTTCAGAGCCACAAATTTTGATATACAAACTAAACTTGTGTTGTTTTTGATGGAACACCCTTGCATAAGAATTATTTGAAATACAAAGTTTAAGTATTAATTTGATATTTTTTATGAGAAGACCATGAAAAATTTTTTTGGTAACTCTTCAGCACATTTATTATTGACTTCGTCAGTGGAAATAATGGATGCACTGACTGAATCTGCTAACCCCTTTATACGAGGTGTGTCCAAAAAGTAAGGTGACATAAGTTTTATCAAAAAGTATTACTTATTCGTGAAAAATGCTTATTAAAAATCCTTTAAGCGCTTTCTGGTATAGCCTTGAATTATTTCATAGATTTTTTCATTATTTTTTCAATCGTTCCAAACCTCCCTCCTTTCATGGGTTTCTTGAGTTTTGGGAACAGATATCCCACATGATTGTGGTTTTGTTTTTGGTCAAAAAGTTAGACACAAGCAACGGTGCATTATTGTAATGCACAGTTCATAAATTGTTTTTCCACAATTCGAGACGTTGTCCTCGTATTTGTTATCGCACACGGCGCATAACTTCAACTAATACTTATTATTGACCGTACGAACCTTGGAGACCCTTGATGTACTAGGTCACGATAATCAAAGAAAAGTGCTTTTCGGTTTCGACGTCATAAGCATATACCCATAATTGGTCATCAGTTATGACTTTTTTGAGCATAACAAGATCATCATTGACGTCTTGTAACAGCTCTTGAGCGATGCTCTTTCGCCGGTCGTTTTGTTCAAAATTAAGCAGTTTCGGAACAAATTTTGTTGCTACCACATTTCGTGCCCAAAACTTCGGAAAAAAATGTATGGCACGAGCGATCTGTAAAATTCTTTGTTAATTTTTTTTTTTTTTTTGACAGAGAAAATTGCCGAGCACACAAAACACGTCTAACAGTTGGGTCTCACAACCAAAAGGTAAACTTACAAACTGACTCTATGTCAGGGGCGTGTGTACCCACATACCAAAATAAATATATCGAAGATCGAATGTATGTACCCGCCCAATTAAAAAATTCGCCTCACTTATTGAACACGTGTAATACGAAATGAAAAAATGTACCATTCTCTTCGACATCTTCGGCCGAATTCTGACTATAAACCGACGACCGCTGCTTGACTTTGTCCTGGACGACGCCCAAGCTTCTGTATCCCTCGTCGGACATTTCGGACGTGGTGTCGCTCTGGTCCGTGTCGTTCACGTGGAGGCTCGCTTCCGATTTCATAACCTTACTGTCTACGACGGGTATCTGTACGCTGGTAACGTGTTTCGATTTGGGCGATGTAGGGATGAACGGTAAACTTTGGGGACCGCTACCCCTCTGCGCGGGACTTTTGTTGGGGGTGGTGGCCGTGGTCAATTTGGTGACGTGGGTAGAAGTGAAGTTGGGGGTGGGGCTGCGAGACCTGTAAACCCGGTGTTCAGATCGTCCATTACGTTTTTGATCCAATTGATATATCTTAAACATTTGTATACTTTGTCTCAAAGTATATCGTATTGACTTTTGTCAGTAATTTCTTAACAGGTATATTATTAATTACATTTAAGTTTACTTGGTGTCACAAATGTTCTACGTAGCAAGTAGTTTGGAGTTAATTCCACTTCTGATCTGACAGTTTTTACCCATACCCTGCATCGAATCAATCATCATCTAGGCAAATTATACATCCGTTTTCGAATTTATACTATATACGATATACTTTGAGACACATCATATCATGTACCTATTAAAGCGAAACGGAAAGAAATTTTCAAAAGTTCGGTTCCATAATAAGAGATCATTCCATTTTTCTTCTATCGGCAGCAATTAGACGAAACTGTAAGTCGAAAAAACGTCTTACCTGTTAGGTGGTAGGGCAAGCGTTTTCCTGGGTAAGTTAGGACTGACGGAGCGTCTGCTGGCATCGATATAGGACGTGTGCGACGGCGACCTCGAGCGGGACCTATTGAGGGAGTTCATCGGCGGCCCCAATGTGTGGTGGGAACCTGCAGTGCCGTTAATAGTGGGCGGCAAAGATGCGGGCGATACTGCGCATCTATGAGCAAAATGATATCCACAATTTTTTTATTTTTTTTAGTTTAAATTCGGATTCATTACCCTGTGAGATCAAAGTAGAAAGAATACTGATCTTTAATTTTGATTCTGTTCGTTTTTTGCTCACATTACTATTTCTCGAGACAATGGCCGCAAAAGACCGCGCTCGGCTAATTCCCGCCAATTATTTCCCAAGGTCATTTATGAGCGTTCGGTGCCAGATTCGCAAAGACATTATATAATAATTATATGTAGAACTTAATGAAGAATTAAAACATTTTTTCGTCGAATTTCCAGTACACGAGCGAAAGTCAGTGTTTGGGTTCCTACTTAGGAGTTCAGTACCAAAATTTCACATTTTTATAAAATTTTACATCAGTTCGTCTTTTTACGACTAATATGCTTAGATTAAAAATAATCATAAAATCATCAACAAATTTTTTTTCTGAATTATTTACAAACCAAGATGGATTACATATTTACAGTTCGCATATTTTATACCAGATTTAATTTAGCAGGTTTTCCGCATGACAAGGCAAATATTTTAGGAATAAAAAAACTTACTTGTACGTGTTTAAATAACGATTACGAATATTGTTAAAATAGACAACGATATTTGCTAGGCCGTTGCCTCATTAAACATGATTTAACTGAGCGAAGACTTTTTTTTAGCGAACGCGCGGTTCCAATTAAACAGGATACCGCAGTTCAAATATTTACGAATTTTAGATAAGAAGTCTGTTTGCACTATACTTGATATACACGATAGTTCCGGGTAATCTATCGCACCGACCAAACTTAATTAAATATACTTCGCATCAAAATTCGGGTCAATTTGAAAGTTAATTTTTTCGCGAACTGCTGACTCGATTTAGATGTATATTTTTTGTCCCATCTTTTCTTAGCACCTCTTTTTTTAAACAAGTCTTTATCCCACTTATTAAATGAAATACGGAATTTAATGTCAAAGGCAACAATTATCAACATTAAACAAATAAGAATTCAATATTGAATATAATTTTAATTTGTGATTGATTGGTATTAGTTCCTATTTTCGTGATAACGATCATCCAAGGAAGCAGGTGAGGGTTGCTAATCTCTAAGCTTGTGCTATCCACTTGACCCCATAAATGTCATATTAGGTTAAGATCTGGAGTATCTGGAGGTCAGTTCAAAGTCTTAGTTCATCTTATTTAAATAATTTTATACTATTCTTCCACTATGTCGTCTGACATTATAAAATGGCTCTCGCAACCCGCGAAACTTATTCGTTTGACATTATGTTCCGCATTTCATTTCATAACTGAGATAAAGGCGTGAAAAAAAAAACAAGATGCTCAGACAAGACTACTATGCATACACTATGAATACACTTAGACAGACACGGAATTTCCCACAAACTTTAACAACCATCGAATAGAAAACTTTTTTTTCTTAAAACACATGCCTAAAACTTTATTTTAAATAAGTACCGCGTACTTAGTTATTTACCTGTCGTAAAAGACCTGAGCCCCATGAAGATCGGGCGCCCTTCCCGGAACGAGCCGGGCCCCTTGAGTAGGCCGGTGCTGGACCCTGCACCTGCAGGGGTCGTGTTTATCCAGGTAATGGGACAGGGTATCCCAGCCCCCACCCACCCGTACCATTACGTGTTTTCTTAGGATCTGCAAGCAATTTTTTAATTTGATTATCCCCAAATTTTATTGTAATTTACTTTCCTAAAATTAAATAATTGATGATTTAAGCAAGGTAACACTTCTAGAAAACCCTGTATAATAGAATAATGTATTGTAAAGTCTGTTCATAGGTATGAGAAAGTGACTAACTGATACGAATTAAGGAAAGACCTGGGCAGGCTGTAAGACTGAAATATGGCCCAACAGGTCCGTACTTTGCTTAGAATTTAATTATTTGGGGTTTTGTTAGGAAAAATACTAAACAATATTCATTTATTTATTTATGTATGTATTTATGTTTAAATCTAAAATAAAATTACAAATTATTTTTATTACCACATAATATATCAGTATCACTATCGCTATCATCGCCTGTTCTAATTATTATTTGTTCTATATTATTTGAAATATGGATATACGATTGTTCTGCTTTTTCTATATGTTTAACAGAATTTGTCCAACTTTGTAAAGGGATGTTAAAAACTTCGGTTTCTATAAGTTTGAGGACATTGGAGTTAACACGGGGAAAAACATTGTTATGACGAATGGCAGATTTCAGTTGGTGCCAAACATGTTCAATAGGATTAAATATACAGTGGTAAGGAGCAAGCCTTGAAACTGCATGCCCAAGATTTTTTGAATAATTATCACAGACGTATTCCTTTTGTAGGTTCAAGCTTTGTAGAACCTCAATTAATTGCTTTTTGGTATAATCTTCGTGAAAATAAATGTCGTTATTATACATGTAGTTTTGGACTGTTGCTTTTGTGTGACATGAGGAAGGGGTTTTAGTCAACTGTCCACTGTGATAACTTGCATTGTCCATTACAATTACGCTATTAGGAGGAATGTTTGAAACTAGTTTGTTTTTAAACCAACTTTCAAATAAATCAGCGGTGGTGTATTCATGGTAATCCAGAGAAGAACCTTTAATATTTTTCGCAGACATGGAAAGTCCATTTGGAATTCAACCATCTTGAGAGCCAGCATGCAAAATAGTTATTCTTTTACCTCTTTGTGATGGCGCGTTTGTTTTACACTTATCGGTTGAGTCAACCTGACCCTTTTCCGGGGTATCCTAAGTGTCGAACCAGGTTTGTTGTTCTCTATAAATCCTAATTTTTTCTAGTTATTTCAGTCGCCATTTCCGAATTCTAAAAGATTCCATTAAAACTTGTCTTTTGTCAATTTTTTTAAAATCTAAACCCATATGTTGAATACACTTCCCTAAGGTAGTTCTGCCACATTTAACACCGGTTTCATCTTTTTCAAGCCTCCTAATTAAGATATCTAATGTAGGCACGCTTTGTTCCTCGTATCTTGATCACTTTCGTCTACACTCGAGAAAATGTCAGCATCGCTTCTTTTTTTCCTCGCTGAAATGGGATTATTCACATTTTTCCATACAGTTGATGTTGGAATTTTCAATGTGGCCGTTTCTTCTAAAGATGCTTGCTTGCTGGCACCACGTTCAATGAGAGTCAAATAAACATTGTTTATAACTTCCTTAGTCTCAATAGAATAGTGTTTTCTACATTTGGGCGGGAGCATCTCCTGAGATACACTAGACTCGCACATATTTTGCATAATTCGGACACGATTCAACACACGCTGTATTACACACGAAATAAGAATGATTACTAATAAACTTAAACTAAGTAGTATACCAAACCAAAAAATATTAAACACAGGTAGGTATAAAATAATTTTCTATTGCGGACCTCAATTTTACCTGAATTTAAATTCCGAAACTTTAGGTAATAATCTTGTATGTTAATGACCACCCTTGGATAATCCCATTCAAAAGCAATTGGTCACTTTCTTGTATCTATGAACAGACCATACTAAATACATACGAACACTTGTATATATGACAAAAATCTGTGACCATTTTCTAATTCTAAACATTCCGCAACGTTTTTATATTGAGAGTTACGGGAAATGTTTCCAAAGTTCTGAGCATTTCTATTTTTTTTTTAATTTAACCAAATCACTTTTTCCAGTGCCTTCTCGATCCACATGGCACATTATACGTCAGTTTAACTTGCAAATCGAATATCCTTTTTTGACAAGTGCTTGTTGCAAATTCGAATATTTTGCGTTAACACGCAATTCCAAAATATCCTAAGCATTAACTTTGCAACAGTTATTTTTTGTTTTGACTTTTGGTGTCAAGATTGACACATTCGGTCGGTGGTTGTTATTCCTTGTCAAAATTCATCACCATAATAAGTATCAGAACTGTTAAATTTCTGTTCTGGTCCCAACAGCTTTGATACCTAGCCCGCTGAAACCGTGCGTCTGTCCTCTTTCAGCAGTTTCTGCGGCGGCAGTAATATTTCTTGCATTTACCGACGTGCTTTCACAAGCACGTACTCCACCGATCGATATGATATTCCACAGGTTTCAAAACGATCGGTCCGCCGATGACCAATACACCAAATACTGTTTGCAGTCCCTTTTCACAAAAAGAAAATTATTGTTCTTTGAGATTTTGATGCGTCTTCGTCTTCCATGGTTACAAAAACATTGTTATAAAAACGCGTCCTATATCAGTCGAACAACTAAATCAGACTGAAGAATATTACACCAGATGGATACCTAAAAATGTCAATGCCCCTAAGTTCTCCCTAATTTAATTATAGCACAATTCTCAAAACTTTGGAAACAACCCTATAAATATCATTCCATTACTACTTGGGCCATTTTATAACTATTCTATTTTGCGCCAAAACCCATTTACCATTTTATAACCGTTCTAGTTATAATTGAGTTAGGTACTTGGAATCATTTTAATTTACTAACATTCCAGACGACAGCCCTGCTTTTACTTGAAATATATCTTAATTTGTTTAATTTTATTCCCGATTTCTTATAATTATTCGGAAAATTCCAATTTATAAACTAGAATATCATAGAATTTTGTTATACGGAATATGGAAGCTACTACATATTACGAAAATTTCTAGTTCCTTTTTTCATTACTTAAAATTGTTGTTTTACTATCAGAAATCAATTTTAACGAAAGCATTTTTAAAAAATATTTCGTTCGCTCTTTTACAGTTTCCCCTCCAGCTTTTTATTCCTACTAACGGACTTAATGAAGCAATCGGCAGGAGAAGACCACACACGGGGTTGGAAAAAGAAAATTAGTGGTAATTACCGATGTTTCGAGTCCGCTGCCGCGCGTGTGACACTGGACGATGAAGAAGAATACGAAGAAAAAAAAACGTCCCGCGTTATATTATCTCGTTCGTCACACAAGGTCGGGACGGCTGTGCAAACGTAGGCATTTTAATAGTCAATAATTATCGTGGTTGTTTTGTTCGTCGGCAATTATCTGAGCCTATCGACCAATAAAGAAGACGAGTTTCTAGTCGAGTACGTGTGTTGGAAGGTTGAACAGGTGATTTTGACGCGTCAGGAGAAAACCGTATACGCGGATCTGATGGACGACATTGAAAAGCAACTGCGAAATCTTCGCCAATCTTCGTGAATAAACGTATGAAAGTTCCCCAAACGTATAGAATAGAATAAACGTATAGAAAAAGTCGGTAAATAAATCTTTTCTTTTTTTCAGTGCCGACATCTATTGGAACATGATGTATAAGTCCAGCAAATTTTTAAATTCAACTTTAATTTAACATTTGAATAAAAAAATACATAAAAGATTTTTTGCTCAACTAATTTATGACGTCTGATATGACGAAATACATTACTCTATGTATATGTTATAAACTATAAAAGAAAACTTGTGTCAAACGTCTTAAGTTTTTAGACACAGGGTGATAAAGTTTTCAAAATTAAAATATATATTTTTTTCATATCTGACAGATGACAGATGCAGAGAAACTAGATTTATTTTTCAGTGAAAACCGCGTAACGGATTAAAAATTAAATCTGCTCATCAATGAATTATTTTTTTAAGGAAATCAGTGGCGTGCCACTGACTGTATATGAACAAATAATATTTTGGTTGATCCCGTCGCCACTGCACTAGTGAAATCAAGCACTTTTTGAAAAAGAAAATATCTATCTAAAACAAAATATCAAGTTTTTAGTTTACTATTGTCATTTAGAAAAAAAAAAAATAATTAGAAAACTGTTCTTTTTACTTATACTTTTTTAATGAAATAACATAACATCCTAGCAATCAGATAAATAAAGAACGATTCTTATTATTAAATTGTCGGTTATAAAATTAATAACAATCTTTTTGAAAAAAGTAGAACATAGAAACTATACACGCGTCAGCGCTTTTCCTCATATTGTCGCGCACTTAAAAAAAATACACCTCAGAGTCTACGTACTTTCATTTTTTGAAGCATTTTAATAAAACAGACAGACAATTACTTAAGTAACAAATAAGAATAATGATAATTCTCCGAATGCTGCAGCACCTAGGTTCCCCTATGTATGTAATTTATTGGAAGCCATGGAGATTAACAAAATGAGACATTCAAATGTATTGCTTAACGATCAATTAGATTTAAATACCTCTCTTTTATTGAACTTAAATTCTCGCAACAACATTAATTAAGGTCAGTTTGTAAATATTACATTTGATAAAGACACGGTGTTGCCCAAAACAATTGTCATGTCAAAATATATAATTTCGTGAAAATCTGAACTTTTAGTTCTTATTTATTTTGATAAATGGATTTTAAAAGCCACCTCAGTTCAATTTTTCCAATTTGTTATCATAACTTTTGCTACGAAGGAATTTCAATTGATTAATGAGGAATTCCGAGAAATTCCGCGAATAATTCAAAACAATTACAAATATAAAAATAATTCCGGTGTCGTTTATCCCTTATCCCAGAACTTACCCTGACGAAAATGAGCACTTTGGTGTCTCCGATCCTGTACTTGCCCTCCGACACGCGTATCATCGGGAACTGGGTCGGGCACGTGCATTTCTCCACCAGATCTCGAACCTGGAACGAGGAAAAACGTTCGAGTTGTTATCGTGGCGTCGACCCCGGGCCCGGAACCGTATCCCTGCGGCATACAGCGACGAAAATTTACATACGGTCGCCTCTAACAACCGCAATAAGTTATAACACGACATCGTCGCGCGCTACCTTCCATAAATTAAAATTGCTTTCACTGAAAATCGTGAAGATCGTTAAGTCGTGTGGTTTATTAATTCAAATTTCAGGAGTAGCCATGGGCGGTACACGAATGTTTCACCCCTTCGCGCCGCACGCGTAGGGGTTAAAATGTCGACAATTATATAACGATCGAACGTAATTATTTGTTATTAAGCCGAGCTTAAATGGAGCGTGTTTTCCGCGTTGAATGGTATTGATTTTCTCCATGTAGTAGTATTTTTTCTCAAATTTATTATTTATTATTATTATTATTTCATTTGCTTTTTCAAATATCTCGCGCCCTGTAAAATTGACGAAACCTGAAACTCTCTTACGACGCGCTTTACGATACTGTTCAAATAAAACTATCCCATGTTGAAAGGGTTTTCATTTATCGCCAATAATTTAACCACAAAAACGAAAATTTTTAGGATATTTTAGATTTTTTGCCCATAAACGATACACCCCGTATATGATGCAATCATTGTTCGAAGTAAAGAGCCCTGAATTTTCCACGCGTCCTGGTTCAAGAATTTTTGGAAAATAGTAAATGGTTTTCTAGAAAATAAGCTTTTTCTGAAACCAAAATGTGATAGACCAAAATCTCAAATACAAAAATTGCAGATCTTGATGCGGCCTATGACACTGTTTGAACTGATTAGCCATATTTTTTTACGTCTTTTAGATTTTTGCCTACAATTTGAAAATCGGGTATATAATCGGGTATATAACTGGACCTTCCGCGTCTGGTGGTTAAAGAATTTTGCCTACCGGATGGACGATTACGGAGAAAAACATATTTTTCTGGAAGTCAAAATTACCAAAAAAAAAACAACAATTTAAAAAAAAATCGTGGACACGGATCTTTACTTGTTGATATCTGCAAATTTCGAACACTTAATACATTTCTTATTTAGCACAGAATATCGGGAACACCCTGTACAAGAGGTGAAAACCTCAAATACAAAAGTTTTTGCTGTCTATGCGGGCTATATTGCAATGTAAAAGAAAGTGACATCTGAATCATGGTCTTTCAGTTATAACCATTTTTTTTTAATACTTCCCGACCCCCAGCCCCCCATTTTTTTTCAATAGGTTCCGTCACGTCAAATATGAAGTCGATTGCTTCAAATTTCGAACACTTATCGTGTTTCATACCAATGTCCAAAAAACAGTAGAAAATTGCGAAAACAAGACGGAGGCCGGCGTCGGATCGAAGCCATTTACTTTCGAAAAATTCGATTTCATCGACTTTCGAAAATAACAAGCAAAAGGGAACGGCGGCAGTGAAGAGAGACTAGTATAGACTTAAACGGAGACATAACATTAACTACTGTTCTAAGAGCGTTGTTGCAAATGTCACTCAGTTGTAGTACAACGCATGAACGAACGAATCAATGAATATTATAAACTACTGACCTAAAAAATATACGGGGAAATTTCAAACAAAAAAATTGTATCCCTGCTTGTGACGCTAATGGATTTCCATGCCGTCGGATCCGCCATGGCGGTCCTGCACGAGGCATTTGCAAACAATAGGGACGGTTTTCGTTGTTAAGTGAACAGGAGACCCGCTGGTTCAAGTAGTGGTCATTTTTAATTATCAACAAGTGGCGAAAGAATGAATAACGACCCATACGGTATGCAGAGATTTACTTTCTAATAATAATTAATCAATAATAGTGGACAAAGAGAGTACTCGACGATCAATAAACTAATTTTAACTCATATTAATTTAATAGAGTAAATTTCGTAAAATTTGATAATTTTTATTCAAGTAAAGTGTGAAATGGCACCCCAGTGAGTTACAGAACGTATTAGTGACTAGTAGCGAACTCTTTTTTTTTTTAATTTATTGGTATTTGAATTGAGGGTTCTATTAGATTCTCATATTTTTTTAACTCCTTCTGTTATGATTTTCTAAAGAGTTACCTTTTTATTTATGCCGACTATCAGTTTTAAACATTTTTGTAAATAACTTGTCGAGTGCTCCTCGTAACCGAATTTTTATCGATTACATTTACGACCGCAGGATTTGCCTTTCAGGTTCGGCCGAATAAAAAAATCACGATAACATTTTCTTTTTATCGAACCCATTAAACGGACGAACGATTTTCAGCAACACCCACGTCCATTTTGGTCAGATGGTTGCCGTGGCACCCAAGGCCGGGATTTCATTAAGTCGTACGTCCAGGTATACTTTTAAAAGGAAACCGTGAATGCCGATTACTGCGTATATATATACAAATACCAAACAATTTAGATCAAATTTCGCAAATGGCAATCGCGCGGCCACGCGGTGACATTCCGCCCACTGGTGTCGTCCTTTTTAAGAAATTTTGCCAACAATTTAAATTTTAATTAGATCCATCGTGGATAACGATCACGTCGCATTGCCTTTCGCGAAAAAAGCTACGCGCTTTTGCGCCATTTTCGTAGGCGGCCAAATGGAAGTTTGTACTCGAGCGGCAATCTGGGCCTTTGCGTTATTTATTTGGTCATTAATTGATAACCGTTGTTAAATATACATTATACATCACATACGTTACAGTTAGAACCGCCGTAATATAAAATCAAATTTGAGTCCACAACAAAGTTGCAGTATTTATTGAAATAATATTTAGAAAAAACAAAACGTAAAATTATACTTTAATTAACCCCCCGAGTCATTCATTTACAAGGTTTCGTTCATTTTTCTCAAAGTATAGTAGTTTTTATCCGCATCTGCATTATGGCAAGTTAAACAATATTTTAATTTTTAATTTTTATCAGATTTGAAACTCTGGGCGGGTGTTTTGATTGATTTATTTATTTTATTTATTTATTATAACAAGGTATCCTAACATGACGAACTAACATCACAATTTATAACGGTACACTAAAACTGAGTACATTTACCTTAATTCAATTGAGCAAGTCTATTTCTAAACCCAAGAAAAAGGAAACACTCAGAAATATCTATGTGCAAAAAGTGACTGTTATAATATTTTTTTTACAAAAGAAATAATGGTGAGTTGCTTCCGAAATTTGTACTATACTTAGGCGCATAGAACAAAGCAGGCGTTCCAGTCATTGCCACCCCCGCATTAATGGATAATTTTTTCAACAGTTTTGGACAGCCTACTCTGTTATTAACAATATTGAGCCAAAAAAGGTCACTATATATTATTCGCCTAACTGATAATTTCAACATATTTTAGAAGTCGAGGCTTGCCTTTTAGATTGTGGTTATATCTAAAGTTCATGAAAAAAATAAACTTTTTTTAATGCTTTTAATTCTGTTTACATACTTATGATATAGAGTCCCCAATATGACTCTATATCAAGATGGGACCGTACGTAGGCGACCAGCGACTTGGGGTCTATTATTATTCGCTAACCTTTGTAAAAAAAATGTTTTCAATATGAATTTCAAAACTCAGTTTTGTGTCTATAGTTACTCCGGGATCCCTGAATACCTACTCCATTGAATTTATAATCAAAAGCTATATCATTTTTTAATGTACTGAACTTAAGATAGTAACATTCGTCAATACTTAAAAACAGTCGATTTTCTAAGCGGTAGTCATGAAACTTATCAAGGTCCTCCTGAAACTTGCGACAGTCGTCGATGCTCCTGACACACTGTGGGCCCATTGCCCAAACTAGGTTGCATGAATTAGATTATTTTCTAGTAACTTTAAAAAAATATTTATTATTATTATATATTGCTGGTAAATAATAATACAAATTTTTTTTCAATTTTCCAGCGTTGCCACATTAGTATTTTTAAAAAAATTGGAAACATTTTGCAATTACTGCACAGTTTTATTCAAAAAACTACTGCAGTCACGTGAAATAATTTAACTGTATTTAAGGAAACAGAAAACATACTATTGAATATATAATTATTTTATTAAAACAACACAGCAAGCAAGAGATCATACGAAACACAAAAAACTTAAAGGATAACAAAAAGCCTTAGAATTGGCTTATAAATAAACTTTTGGTAGAGATGTTTTCAACGTAACATAATTTTTTTAACCCTGAAACCCACTAGGTAAATTATAATTTTAGTCATTCTCGCTGTCATGACATGTCAGACTCACTACCCATACACTCATAGTCATATTCGGAGGTCTCCGAAAAATAGTCATTTTTTGTAAGGCATCGAAGCTCTGGGGCCTTTATTACAGTTTTTTGCCGGTAACTGGCTATAACGGGGTCAGAGGACACTAATAACATTCGCATCATTCGTGGCAATGCGCGAATTTTTTTGGGTGTGATGCTCACGATATCGCCGACAATCTTTGTGACGTGCCTCTTGGGCCTCCTCAGAGAGCTGCCCAATAGGCGCAACACAATGTTTAATAATATCTGTGGAATGGTACAGCAATTTGTGAACGGTTATGGGCGTATAACACCACGAGTAAAGACTTAAATATTTTAAATATTTCTTCTACAAGGTTTTTCTTACTAGAGACACTCCAGAATTGAAACCACGTTTTTTTCGATATTTCGTACATTTTATTTATATCTGTCTTTTTTTTAACTCGATTCTAGTATGCTCTTCAGAAATGGAGTTTAAATGCAACGGAATATTTGCAAAAGTTGTTTCTTTTAGTTTTTTTTTTAAAGATTATTTTCTGTATTTTTGACGTAATTTTTAAAGTCCACACTTACATCTTCCGTAGTTCAGAAAAGGGTGGGGAGACCAGTAGATTTGCGTTCATAGCTTGTACCGGTAATGTTTATGTTGGCTGTCGACTTTTTATCAATAAACTTGTTTAATCTCTTATAGATATAAATAATACCCCTGACCATTAAAAATAAACGAACAGAAATTTGCCCCCGCCCCGCCGCCT